TTTTATAAAACAGTAGTAATACTTCGTGTGATCTTGATTTTATGCCTCTGTTTATATAACCCAGGATTGTATTAGCTTTTTTGACTGCTACTACACATCAGTCACATCTGATTATCATCCCATTGATTGAAACACCCCTGTCTAATTTCCCCTTGAAATGAACTGCTAGGAGTTGAACTAAAGACTGAAAAGCCAATATCATAATATAGGGAAATTATCCTGGTATCTGAAAGAGATAATCAGAAGCTCTTTTTAAAAAGATGAAATCTGGGACTAGCGTAGTTCATGGAGCGTGGGGGGGGGGCGCGCAGCGGCAGAATCTGTCTCCCCTTCCAAAACACCATTAATAGCACTATTAATAACATTGAAGCGACCTGCTCCCCACACCTCCATAGATGTTCATAGAACAGGCCAATACAAAGTAGCAATAGGAGTATCAGAACTCTAGAGGGCGCTCCCCTGTAACATGCACTCTGAAAGAATGGGGGACTCTCCAATAGAGCAGAAATTTCACCAATGAAGGCAAATTCTCTTATAAATTCTCTTATAAAGAGAAATTTCTCTTTATACTAGGGAGCAATCAACCAAAAAGCAAATGTTCAGTGCCAAATAAGTGCAAAAGGAAACAGAATAGATTAACCCAATATAAATTTGCCAATATACGGAGGGGATTCTTCGACATCTGCTTATGGGCAAAGCAATATGGTGGTCATTCTCTTTCAGCTTGGCTTTCAGCTTGGCTTTCCCAGATTTAAACTGAGAAATGCTGACAGATTCAAGTCCACTTCTGGGGTGCATTCACCATATGTTGTCTAAAAGATCCTCTTGGAGCATCTCTGTGGGTAACAATTTCTGAGAGGATGATTGATGTTGATTCCTCAATGTACTTGAATAGTGATAGAGGTAATAACTTAACAAATGCCACCCCACCACATAGTACAGTAGAGCAGATGGCTTCAGGTGAAAAAAGAGAAGAAGAGATACAACAGCAAGATTTTCTAAAGCTTTGGTTCGAGGAGATGTGGCTTGTATCACAGATACGAGTTGTGCTTTGCTTGGATGCCAAAATATTTGGATAGTTTTTTCCCTTGTAGCATAAAGCTGCTGGAGAATCTCAAATGTGTTGCTTGATGAGTTTAACTCTGTAGACTCCATAGACGGCAACATAAAAAGCACCCACTATAACTACTGGGTGAGAGATAGGCTCAGAAGTTTAATAGCAATGTAGTTATACTGATATAGTCTTTGTATGGCAGCCATACTTGGGATTGTAAATCATTAAGTGGTTTCTAACTGAAAACTGTTGCTATAAAATCTTAATTTTTGACAGAGTTATGTTCCCTAGGGAATTCTTTAACTCATATTTTTATTTCATCCAAAATATTTTGGGTTTCCTCTTGCCTCTTAACTTCAGAATTATATTGTGTCAGAGAACTGGACCAGCCACGCTCACACCTGATTATCATCCCATTGATTGAAGGACCTGTCTAATTTCCCCTTGAAATGAATGGCTAGGACAGGGGTAGCAACCCAAAACACTCAAAGAGCCACTTGGACCCGTTTCCCACCCAAAACAAAACACTGGGAGCCGCAAAACCCTTTTGATATCTAAAATGAAGATAACACTGCATATATCCTTTTTTACCTTTATTATCTCTCTCTCTCTCTCTCTCTGTGTGTGTGTGTGTGTGTGTGTTTGTGTGTATAAAATAAAGGTAAAAAAGGATGTATGCAGTGTTATCTTCATTTTAGACATCAAAACGGTCTCTCTCTCTGTCTCTCTTTCCTCTCCCTCTTTCCTCTCTCTCCCTCTCCCTCTTTTTCCTCTCCCTCTCTTTCTCTTTCCTCTCTTTTTCTCTTTCCTCTTCCTCTCTCTCTCTTCCTCCCTCTTTCCTCTCTCTCTCACTCATTTCTTTCTCTTTCTCACTCTTTCTTTCTTTCTCTCTTTCTTTCCTTTCTTTATCTCTATCTTTCTTTCTTTCTTTCTTTCTTTCTCTCTTTCTCTCTTTTTCTTTTTTCTTTTTTTCCTTCTTTCTCTCTCTTTCTCTCTTTTTCTCTCTTCCCCTCTTCCTTTCTCTCTTTCCTCTCTCTTTTTCTCACTTTCTCTCTCTTTCCTCTCTTTTTCTCTCTCTTCTCTCTTTTTCTCTCTTTCCTCTCTCTCTTTCTCTCTTTCTCTCTCTTTCTCTTTCCTCTATCTCACTCTTTCCTCTTTCTCTCTTCTCTCTCTCACTCTTTCTCTTTCCTCTCTCTTTCCTCTCTCATTCTCTTTCTTAACTTCTTTCTTTCTCTTTCTTTCTTTCTCTTTCTTTCTTTCTTTCTCTCTCTTTTCTATCTTTCTCTTTCCTCTCTTTCTCCCTCTTTCCCCTCTCTCTTTCCTCTTTCCTCTCTCTCTTTCTCTCTTTCTTTCTTTCTTTCTTTCTCTTTGTTTCTCTCTCTCTCTCTTTCCTCTATCCCTTTCCTCTCTCTTTCTTTCTTTCCTTCTTTCTTTCTTTATCTTTATCTTTCTTTCTCTTTCTCTTTCTTATTTTCTTTCTTTCTCTCTCGCTCTTTCTCTTTTTCTTTCTCCCTATTTCTTTCTTTATCTCTCTTTTTCTTTCTTTCTTGCTCTCTCTCACTCTTTCTCTTTATCTTTCTCTCTCTCTTTCCTCTCTTTCTTTTTCTCTGTTTTTCCGCTCTCTTTTTCTCTCTTTCCTCTTTCTCTTTCTTCTCTCTTTCTCTCTCTCTTTCCTCTCTTTCTCTCTCTTTCCCCTCTCTTCTCTCTCTCTTTTTCCTCTCTCTCTTTCCTCTCTCTTTCTCTTTCTTTCTTTCTTTCTTTTTCTTTCTTTCTCTCCCGCTCTTTCTCTCTCTCTTTCCTTTCTTTCTATCTCTCTTTCTTTCTTTTTCTTTCTTTATTTCTCTCTTTCTTTCCTTTTCTTTCTTTCTTTCTTTCCTTTTTTCTCTTTCTCATTCTTTGTTTCCCTCTTTCTTTCCTTCTTACTCTCTCTCTTTCTCTTTCTCTCTCTTTCTCTTTTTCTCATCTCTCTTTCACTCTTTCTCTTTCCTCTCTTTCCTCACTCTTTCTTTCTCTCTCTCCTTTCTGTCTCTCTCTTTCTGTTTCTCTTTCTCTTTTCTCTCTTTCTCTTTCTTTCCCCTCTCTTTTTCTCTCTTTCCTCTCTTTTTTCTCTTTTGCTCCCTCTTTCCTCTTTCTCTCTTTACTCTCTCTTTCTCTTTCTTTTTCCTCTTTCTTTCCTCTTTCTCTCTTTTTCCTCTCTCTCTTTCCTCTCTCTCTTTCTCTCTCTTTCTCTTTCTCACTTTCCTCTCTCTCTCTTCTCTCTTTCCTCTCTCTTTCTCATTCTCTCCTCTCTCTTCTCTCTCTCTTTTTCATTCCTCTCTCTTTCCTCTCTCATTCTTTCTCTCATTCTCTCTCTTTCTTTCCTTTCATTCTTTCTTTCTTTCTCTCTCTCTCTCTTTCTCTCTTTTTCTCTCAATCTTTCACTCTCTTTCTTTCTCTCTTTCTTTCTTTCTCTTTCTTTCTTTCTTTCTTTCTTTCTCTCTTTCTTTCCTTTTTTCTTTCTTTCCCTTTCTCTCTTTCCTCTCTTTCTCTCTCTTTCCCTCTCTTCTCTCTCTCTTTCTTTTCCTCAATCTTTTTTCCTCTTTCTTTCTTTTTCCCTTTTTCTTTCTTTCTCTCTCACTCTTTCTCTCTTTCCTTTCTTTCTATCTATCTCTCTCTTTCTTTCTCTTTCTTTCTTTCTTTCTTTCCCTCTTTCTCTTTCTTTCTTTATTTCTCTCTCTCTCTTTCTCTTTCTTTCTCTCAATCTTTCTCTTTCTTTCTTTCTTTCTTTCTTTCTTTCTTTCTTTCTCTTTCTTTCCTTTTTTTCTTTCTTTCCCTCTTTCTCTCTCTTTCCCCTCTCTCTTCTCTCTCTGTTTCTTTTTCCTCAATCTCTCTTTCCTCTCTCTTTCTCTCTCTTTCTTTTTCTCTCTCTTTCTTTCTTTCTTTTTCCTTTTTTCTTTATTTCTCTCTCACTCTTCCTCTCTTTCCTTTCTTTCTATCTCTCTCTTTCTTTCTCTTTCTTTCTTTCTCTCTTTCTTTTTCTCTTTCTTTCTTTCTTTCCCTCTTTCTCTCTCTTTCTCTCTCTCTCTCTCTTTCTTTCTTTCTTTCTTTCTTTCTTTCTTTCCCTCTCTCTTTCTTTCTCTCACTTTCTTTCTTTTTCTCTTTTTCTTTTTTCTTTCTTTCCTTCTCTCTCTCTCTCCCTCATTCTTTGTTTCCTTCTTTGTTTCCTTCTTACTCTCTCTCAGTATCATAATATAGGGAAATCATCTTGGCATCTGAAAGAGATAATGGCAAGCAGCTTTTTAAAAAGATGAAATCTGGAAATAGCGTAGCTCATGGGGGGGGGGGCAGCAGCTGAAGCGAACTTGAAGCGACCTGCTCTCCACACCTCCATAGAGGTTCGTAGAACAGGCTAATACAAACTAGCACTAGGAGGATCAGGACTCTAGAGGGCGCTCCCGTGTAATATGCACATTGAGAGAGCGGGGATTCTAACAGAGCAGAAATTTCTCTCACCAGTGAAGACGAATTCTCTTATAAATTATCTTATAAAGAGAAAGTTCTCTTTATACAAGGGAGTGTCAACCCAAAAGCAAATGTTCAGTGCAAAATAAGTGCAAAAGGAAACATAATAGATTAACCCGCGATAACTTTGCCAATACACTGAGGGGACTTCTTTGGTATCTGCTGCGTGGCCAAACGATATGGTGGTCCAGATGTTTCAGCGGTCTGAGGTTCCCAGGGAGAGTTCCGCAAGGAGCGCAGTCGGAGGCTGGGGTCGACTCCCTCCAGCCTCCCTCCCCGTCATGCCGTTGCGGCTTTGCCTGTTCAAATGCCTAAAAGAGCAAGCCGAAAGCTACAGAGAGCACCGGTGGAGGGAAAGGAGGGGGAAAAAAATCTTTCTGCTGGGCGAGAGCTATTTAAAGAGCTTGGGGGGTGGGGGTGGGGGAGAGAGACGGACTGGAAAGCTATGATCGAAAGAGACGTGATTCGTTTTAGCCAGGGAATAAGAGGGCATTATATATTTGAATATTTTTCCTCTCATTTCTGAATGAGCAGAAGGTTCCTGGCCCAAACTGGTATTTGTTGCAACAGTTAAAGGGGCAAGCAAGAAGTTTTTTTCTGGAGTCCCCGATTAAGGTATGAGTAAATCCCTCCTTTCAGTAGGTGGGGGAGCCCCGCCTTCTACTTGTTCGCATTAAGGTACTTTCGTTTCTCCTGAGGCTTATGTGTATCTCGTCTTGAGCGCTTGTGAGTAAATTCTGGTTATTTTTTTAAAAATAATATGGAATTAATGTGTGGACCATCCTGTGCCTGTTCCTTCTCCTCTTCAGGCATCCACCTGCTATCTTCACAGCCTTGCAGTGACCTAAGGTCCTCTAGATGGGAGAATAAGGGGAGATTTAGTAGACAGGAAAGAGTTTACAGCCAATCTTGCCCTGATGGAAGTGCCCAATACGCACACAAGTGCCCTGTAAATTTACAAAGATTAAGTATTTGAAGTTCAGTGTTCAAAGGTAGGTAGGTGGGTGGGTGGGTGGGTTGATTTTTTGCTAAACTTTGACTTCAATTAATGCAGCTCAAGAAGGACGTAGCTTCCTCTTAAGGTCTGTACAAATCCTAATTGTGGGATTGATTTGGGCCATTGAGTCAGGGTTTTAAAAATCCGGTAGGTTATTAGGTGTCGATAGCAGTTGGGACTTTCCTGTATCGCTTTACTGCTTTCTGAGGTTGTCTGGATTTTGTTAGGAAACCCAGGCTGATGCTCCAGTTGTGTTCTGAAAAAAAACATCACCTCATCAGTGAAGCAAAGCTGGAATTCAGATTCCTGCTCTTGTGTCCTTCACAGTAACTTGTTCTGTCCAAATCGGAATGACCTTCCTGGAAGATGGCAATCAACATGATCATCCTTTAAATCCATCTGCCAGTAACAGGACAGGAGGATAATCACTAGACTTTCTTAGTTTTTTTCCTTGAAAACATTTTGCTTCTTTTCTCACTTGTTCGTTTGCAGGTAACTGAGCTAGGCATCACTTCCAACAAGCATGGCCAGTGGAACCGTAGTTGTCGTCCCCTCTAATGCACAGAATGTAATCCAAACAGCCCCTGGATTGCCCGGTGTTGCTCTTCAGGCATCTGGAGCAACTCCAAATCCTCAGTATGGAGCTCAGCAACTTGGAATTTCCACCAGTGCTCCTCAACAAGTCCCCCAGAAGGGTCCTATGGAGAGATTCCTCAGTGCTGAGGCCAAAGTGCTTGGGGTACGTATGCTTTGCTATGTGCCTGTTTGAAGTCCATTAAGGTTTTAGAGCTCTGTAGAGACCTGTGAATCCTATGCTGAAGTTCTAGAACTTGGCTTGGCTGTTGTCTGGCTCTGGAATATTTTCCAGAAACATCTGTTCTTCCCGGTAGTTTCATTTGTGTTTCTGCAAAATATTCTGACTCAGATATGCATTCCTTTTCTTTGCTCCTTAAGTGAGAAAAGTGAGCTCAGCCAGACCTTTTTCTCCCTTCTCTCTGAGAAGCTCAACTGTTGGGCATTTCTCCAGAAGAACTTGGTCATAGATTGGCTGCAGCCCAAACTGGTTGAAGTCGCTTTGTGCTTATGACTATGGTTAACTTCCTCCTGCAGAGGTGTCTGTAGTGAGAGAAGTGAAAGACCCATCTCTGAAAGGCCTTCTTCCTGACAAGAGCAGCCTGATTGTAGGTCAAACTCTAGTCTATTATAATCTGGAGGAAATGTCAGGTACATAGGGACAATGGTGTCTGAAACTGTCCCTTCTCCCCATTTGAATTTTTCACCATAGGAAACCAGGGCTTTGGTTAATATCTGCACTGGAAGCTTAGAAAGCCCAACCCTTTTGAAGGACCTTTTAAAGATGGATAGAAATGATGCTTTTCCAGGAGTGCTAACAAATTAGAATATTTGTCTTTCTCAGTTTCAGAGAATGAATTTGTCTTATTTTGAGTGTGTTCCTTCCGTAGGCTGTCCAGATCATGATTGGGTTGGTCCACATTGGCTTTGGAGTTGTCTCGCTTTATCTCATTCATTCTTCCTATTTTATCTTGTCTGGAATTGGAGGTTATCCCTTTTGGGGAGGGATATTTGTAAGTATGTGTAAATTTTTGTTGAGTCATGCATCATGGTATTAATGGCTAATGGATATCTATAAAAGTCCTGTTTGCTCTGGAACCTCCCTGGTTTCTTATGGGTGACAGAGTTTTCTGATAATTTTTCCCTTTTATTTGCAGTGAAGTACAATAATTTGTTTTTCTTTTTCCATAGTTCATTTCTTCTGGATCACTTTGTGTAGCAGCTGTGAACCGTCCAAATCGTGGTTTGGTGAGAAAGCTATTTATTCCCTCAAATAGCTTAATATATTTAAAATATTCTGTTTATAACTTAAATTTCTATTAATCCTAAATCTGTTTTAGAGCTTTATACAATTAAAATACCATAATCAAATTTAACTTTAAATAACCACATTATCAGTTCAGGTATCCCTTCCAAATACATCCTGATTCCTTAATTTTATCATAAATCTTGTTTCTTTCTTCTTCCACTAATATCTCCCAATTAAACTAAAATATTGATCTATCCTATACATATCTAATCCATCCATCCATCAATCAATTTCTTTAAACTGATAAAGTATTATCAACCTTAAATCATTTAAGTCCATTAGACAAGGTTCTGATTTCATCCAATTAATTATCAAACCTAATAACATCCATATTATCAAACAGATACATCATCTTATTAAAATAACATTCAATTAATTATTACTTCAATCCTGATCTAAAACACCTCTTCAGTATTCTTCATTCCATTACATAATAATTTTCATATAAATAAACCTATTATTCCAAAAAATACATTCTTACTCTATTTAATGTAGATATTCTAATAATCGTCCATTTTTCTTACTTCTAACTCAAGAACTTAATCCTTAAATCAATTCATAGTTCTAAAAATGCCTTAAATCCAGTATACATAGTTTTAAGTTTCTCTTTTCAGTCTTATTCTAGGCTTCTTTTTATGCCAAGCAGGTTTCCACAACAGAGCTTCCCTTTCAGCCGATAGGTTTCTCTTTTTTGCTTGTAATACCATTTGAGACAGTAAGAAGCCTCCTATCTTCTGCATTGGACCTCTATTTCTCTTATCCTTGAAGCCTCGCTGCTTTCAAGGTTCAAATCTCAATCTTTGCTTTTTCTGATCCTCAAAAATATAGATAAGATGCTTGTAAGGTAAAATAAGTTCCTCTGTATTCTCAATGAAGTCATCTTTTAGTGTATTTTGGTTTGTAGAATAGTCAAATGTAGTCTGAGAATCAATTTTAAGATTTGAAGGAGAGTTTCTGGCTCTTAGTTCTGTGGTAATCTCTTTCATTGTAGCAAATTCCTCTTTAATCTCCCTTAGTTCCTCTTCTGGTATGTTTTGGTTTGTAGAGTAGTCAGAAGTGATCTGAAAGTCAGTTTGAGAGTTTAGGGTAGAGTTGGCTCTTCGTTCTGTAGTAATCCTTTTCCTTATGGCACATATTTCTTCAGTAGCCTCATAAATCTTTTCCAGTATAAGCTTGCAATTTAAGTGAGAGTAAAATTTCTCCATTTTAAAAGTGATTAAAGAAGATCCTTTCTTTATTCTTTTTAGTAAAAACTGTAGTTAAGCAGTGTCCACCCCCTCAGTTCCCATAGCTGCATCAGCTTATCTTATCCAGAAATAGTTTGAAGGTCAGGTCCTTCTCTCCAAAGAATAATCCAGAGTTACAATATTAACTTTTCACCACTAGATGTCCTCAGTAAATAAAAAATCTTTTCCAGACACCATTTTTCCCCCTTTTTCTATCTTTTAAAGGAAAAATTGGAGAAAGAAATAATCTTGCAATTTAAGCATTTTTTTCCTGTATCCCAAAATAAATGAAAATAAAATGTAGTCTTTAAATTTTTTTGTTCTCAGCGCCTTTCTTCCCACATATACAAAAGCTGTTTTTTTCCAGACGGGGAAGTAATTCCAACCAAGCTTTTACAGGCAATAAAAAAACCAAAGAGGACAAAGAGAGGGGCAAAGAAGGTCTCACCCGAATCCTCCGTGCTGGGTCTGATATGCTTAGGTGTAATTATGACTTCGGCTGGTGCAACAGGGTAATCGGCTATCTTGCAGGATGATCTTTGCTCCATCGACCTTAAGGAAATAGCTGGAGCCATGGGAGAAGCTGCTGCTCTCCTGCAGTCACCAGCAAGCCTCCTCCTTGGTGGTTGCCCCTCCAGGGCGACTTTCGACCGACTAAGGGGTCTACCAAAGAAGAAAACCCAGCCGGACTGGAGACGAGTCCCCAGATGCGACCGGTGTCTCCGCATACCGGAACCGGAAGTCCTTTTATTGTGTTTCTTTATAAGTCCTTGGGTCCTTTTATATATTGTCTTCAGATACTGCTCAGTCTTAAATCAACATGATGAAAATGAGAGAAGCCTGAGAGAGTCAATGACCATGACATAGGTGCTTGTTCTACCAGAGCTTGCTAGTTGCCACTAGTAATGGTGCTAGTCCTGGGCAAAGAAGTGTGTTCTTGCATTTTCTAATCTTGAACCATACCTCCAACATTATTATTCCTCCTCCTCCTCCTCTTCCTCCTCCTCCTCCTCCTCCTCCTTTTCGATAGAGGGTCCAGTTTGCAAAGTATTTCTTCACGATAGCAACATCAGGAAGAAACCTAGTGTATTAGGAGTAAAAGTATGGAACTAGAGTGGGAATCATCCTGGAAATCAAAAGGGAAAAGAGAACTGATGGTAACCCTTTTACAAAGACCTTGCATTCTTCTCCTCTGTTCCTTTTTGATTTAAAGTGTGTTCATAGCAACATGGAAATATCTTTGTCTTTTAAAGGAACAAAGTGTGTATTCAAAAGAAGAAAAACAACCATCTTGATGGTAAATTACTACAGTCCTGAAAGGGGAGAACTGAAAAGAGCAATTTTTAAGTGTTCAGAATTATCATTACCGGCTCCTGGGTTTCTCCATTCCCATCTGATTAGTTGCCTCTCTGTAATGTTGTATAGCTAAAAGAACATTTAACATTAACATTTAATGCTTAGAGTATGTTGGCACTAATTGCTTTTATGTTTTGCCTTTAATAAGACCTATGCCTACACTGTAATTATAATTTCTCTCCTTCTGGTGTATTGCTGTTTCAGGTGAAATCCAGTGTAGCAATGAACGTCATAAGTGCTATAATAACATTAATTGGTGTCATCCTGTATATTTTTGAGATCATGAGCAATAATCGTATTAGATATATTGGTCAATATAACACTGAAAGTTTAATCGTAAGTAAACCAATCTTGTCTTAAATTTTGTCTTCATGTGCAGACTCCGGAAAGAGATTATATATGCAGGGGAGATATCCCAGATCCTTCACTTTGTAGATTTCTTCTTTCTCTTCCAGTTTCTTTCTTTTTGGTGGGGAGGGGAATAGATTTTTTTTTAAAATTGAAAATGTATTTTAGACATACCTTTTGACTATGTCTCTGCAGAGTGTTGGTTGTTTTACACTATGGCTTAAGTGCTGCAAAAGAAAGAATAGTTTGAAAATTCTACATAGAACAGAATATAGCTGTACATGTTGAAATGTATACCAGGTTTTCCCGCCACCCTCACATCCTCATCCCTTCTTTGCATTTGACACACGAGTTTTAGAAAACTGAAATTTAGGTAAGTTCTGAAGTGTGGAGAGTTTAGAATCATAACAATACCCAGGATCAACGAGTTGATATTTTACTATTTTGTGAAGTGCTTTCTTTTGTTTCCTTATTAGTGTTAAATCATAGTAGTATCACATCCAGGATTTTTCTCCTTTCCAACCTGACAGATGATTGGACAGATTGGGTAAAGAAAATAGATCCAGCTGTATCCTTTTTGATGAGGGGAAACAATATATCTTAGACTGGCTGAATCTAGATCATGTGGCTGCCCTTAACCATACTCTGCTAATGCCAGTTTTCCCCAATTTTCCCATGAGGTAACTTTTACCTTATCCTCAGCCAATGAGTAAGATTCCAATCCTTATGTCATCATTAGCTGGTATAAACTAGTCTTTTCCTCTCCTCTTATTCTGACCCCATCCAACAACAGCTTCAAAGTGTATAAAATCTATTTCTCTTCACCCATTATCTTGGAGATAAAGTCAGGTGACCAAGACTGGATATGTTAGGACAATGCGGAGGCCTTTTGCTTTTCCTCTTTGGACTAGCCAGCCTCTGTCTTAACCCTTTCTCTTTCTCCCTCTCCATCAGCACTTTGTTTCTTGAGGTTTCCTATCCATCCCCTCTCACCTCCATCATCCCAAAGGTGCTTTTTTAAGAGGCAACTGGACCTTCTTATTTTTCTGTGAAGACATTTCGCTTCTCATCCAAGAAGCTTCTTCAGCTCTAATTAGATGGTGGCCTCAATGACTAATTGCTAAAAGAATGCAAATGACCAGCTGTCTGCAAGGAATATAAATCCCTCCATTTCCCACCATCTAGTCAGAGCTGAAAAAGCTTCTTGGATGTCTTCACAGAAAAACGTCTTCACAGAAAAACAAGAAAGTCCAGTTGCCTCTTGAAAAAAGACCTTTGGGACAACCATGACGTGGAAAACAGACCCTCTATATTTCCTATTGGGAAATGGAGGACAAGCAAATTACATCTATTTACTTTGACAGTGAGATAGGCAGTATCTATATTTGATAAATAAGCAAGATAAATCTGTTTATAGTATGGTTTAAGCTCTCCACCCCTCCCTGCCAGAAAAGGTGGCTTCAGCTAGTCTGTTTCGGGTCTTCTGCCTTGCAGGATATATCTAATTGTGGCAGGAGCTGCCTTCCTCTTCTCAGAAGATTACTAGTGCTCGCTTGGACTATTAGTACCCAATATCATTTCATTTTCATCTTTAGTTTACCTTAAATTTAACTTGAGAGATGCCCAAATTGAGGGTGGAAGGAAGGTACAGCACATACTCCATTTCTGTTGTAGTACCCTGAGTGATGGATATTTTCCTTACTGATTGATGCAATGTTGAAAATGGATAGCAGCTACTAGCCATTTATTTAGGACCACATCCCCTCTGGGACTTTCCAAGCCAGCTTCTGATCAGCAAAGACAATGGGGGTGGGGAAGCTGGAGTCACTTAACAACCATAGGATTCTCTTAACTGCAGCAATTTGCTTAACAACAGTGGCAAAAAGGATAAAATTACGCTTGACTCACTTAACAACTGCCTTGCTTAACAGTGAAAATTCTGGTCCCAAATTATGGTTGTAAGTCGAGGGTTACCTGTACACAGCCTCTGTTTTTCCCAGTACAATTGTTCCTCCCAGTGTTTCCCCAGGAAGCAGCTGGGAGTCCCTTTTAATGGTGCAGCACATAAAATAAAATACATACTACTATATTAATTTCTCAGCAGACAACAATTATCTTTCCACATGTCTACAGCTTCCCGAACAGAATATCGGTTATGGCCTCTGCGGTCTGCTGTTCTTGTTCAACCTGCTGGAATTTTGCATCGCTGTTTCAATTGCACACTTTGGGTGCCAGGCAACTTGCTGTAGTGATGATCAGGTAAATATTTGATACTTCACTAATAGCTTTAGCAGTTGAAATGTGTTTTAATATTAGGAACTCAGGATAGTAGTTGGGCTTGATCTCCGAGCTTGGTGAGTTGGCTACAAACGTTTCATCTCAATTCAGGGGGACATCTTCAATGTACTTTGAATTGTGTTCATCTGTCAAAGCACAGGTCTTTTAAATATCTTTTTGTGTGATGTAAGTTTTGTGTGATGGTAAACCAAACCTACCAAAGAATCAACAATGTCTTCAGAGACATCGGATTTACAATAAAAACTGAGAACAACAAACTGCCATTCCTGGACATTCTTGTAACCAGAACTACCAATGGCCAACTTCTAACATCCGTGTACAGGAAGGCAATACACATACAGATCAAATCTCAACTTCCACAGCAACCACCCCAAATGCTACAAACAAAGCTTCGACAGAACACTGTTCGGGAGAGCGGAATCCCATTGCAACACCACGGAAGCCAGATCAGCAGAACGAAAACACTTATACAAAGTCTTCGAGAGAAACAGATACCCACAAAACTTCATCTGGAGATCCCTACACACAAACAATACAAACACCCAAAGCAACACAACAGTTGTTACAGGAACACCAATGATCAGATGAATCACAATCACAGAATGTATCAGAGATGACAGCAAGACTACTACACTAACATATCCTCACAGTAGCCCACAAACCAGCCTCAACCCTCAGACGGACCCTCTCAAAACCTAAGAAACAGTCAGAAACAAACCAAAGATCAGGCATCATATACCAAATCCAGTGCAGCAACTATGAAAAGAACTATGTGGGCCAAACAGGGAGAAAACTATCTATCAAACTGCAATAAACAGACACATTGACATCGATCCAATCTATGAACCGCTGAGAACCAAAGAACTACTTGAACCGCAATCCCGAAAGCAGCATTTAAAATGAACAAATAGGAACCTCACCACACAGCAAAAAAGCACAACCCCCCACAAGAAACCAGACCGCATTTCAACAACAGCCATCCATTCAAACAACCCGAAACTAGACTCGAAACCAGACCCTGACTCAGAGGCAAACAAAGGAACAAACAACATTTGTATCACACAGAGGATACTTAAACACAAAGGACTATGGCCCAGCAACAACAACCAGCCAATCAAATAGCCCAAAACTAGACCATGACTCAGCAACATCAAGAAAAATAACACACAAACTAATTTACATCACAGAAAAAGGTATTTAAAAAGCCAGTGCTCTGACAGAGGAGCACAATTTTAAGCGCACTGAAGATGTACCCCAAATGGAGACGAAACATTTGCAGCCAAGTCGCCAAGCTTGGAGATCAAACCAACAGCCCAGCTTTAGCAGTTCTCATTGTTAAAGAAGTGAAAGAAGAAGATTGTCCATTTTTCTTCATTATATTTACACTCCACTAACCTGAACCTTTGCTTTTGCTCACCAATAGGTGAGATTGGCTGCTCAGGTTACCCAGTAAGCTGTATAATTAGAAGAGGCTTGAATTTTGATGCAACACGCTGTGGCTATTTGCTTCTGCATATGAGTAATTAGATGACACCAGTGTTGGGATTCAAATATGTGAACAACCAGTTCTCTGTGTGGATGCCACTTCCGGAAATCCATTTGGGGCCTGGGCAACAAAAAATTAGCTACCGGTTTTGCCAAAGTGGTGTGAACTGGCTGAATCCCACCACTGGATGACATGGATTTTTCCTAGCTTCTCTTTTGCTAGAGAGGGAATGTCAAGAATAAAACACAATTGTGTTGTCTCTTTATAATTCAGTGATGCAGAAGTTCATCTCCTTATTTAAGAGGGCTCAGCTCTAAATGTATATATTTACTTCAGTAGTGTGACTCCATTAATTTAAAGTATCTGTCACTTGATCACATTTTCTCACAATGCTACCATTTTTTAAAAAAAATAGCTTTCATTTTTAAAAAATAACATTATTTTTAAATCTCAGACAAACAGTCCCTAAATCATTTGCATGTTAATTTATAGTTTTAAAGAATTCTCTATCAGGACTTTGAGCTATCAAGGAGACTCCCAGCATCACAGTTAACAACACACAACTGGAGAATCTATTCTTCCTACCCAGAGTAACAGGTGCCTCTCTGAGTATGTTCTGTATTGACTATTCTTTTCTGTTACAGCCAACCATACATTTTGTGCCTTACCAAGTCATCGGAGATGGAGCAGTCAGAACTGAACCAAATCCTTCTCCTCCACCACCAACCTACGATAATGCGGTTACCAAATCTCCATAAAACAAGAACTCCAGGAAGGAAATGTGAGACGTGTTGCCACAAAGGTTTCAGGAGAAGCAATGGATTTCATTGTGGGGAAAAATGCACGCGCAGCAAACTGCTGTGCTTCCCCCCCCCACAAATCTCATAACCTTTTGATACCCTTTGTCCCAGTGAAGCAGCCAGAAGATTAAACCCTTTTGACTTAATGCCTCACCTACCTAAAGAGATAATATGCTTAGTTCCTTCTCCTATCTCTTCCTGTCTTTGTTAGTTCCTTCTGCTTTCATCTCCCTGTATTTGTTCTTATCTGGTCTTTGACCATGTAATGTGTTACTAGAAAATAGTTGCTTACATGAAGACATTTTCCAATGAAGAAACCTTTGTCAGCATTTAATGGTAAAGCCTATGTATGTAACAAGTATATAAGAAGCAATACACTCAGAGTTTGTCAAGCTGTGTCCTGCAGCTTCAAACCTCTGCTCAAGACATGCCTGCGTCTTTTTCTTAGCCTCTTACATCTCATGTTACTATATTTTGTACTTCATCTTCCTTGTTTATTTTTCAATTAAAGCCTTTAAAACCGAATTAAATGGCGGCAAATTTTAAAATTCTTCTATTTTACTTAATTTTACTTCCCTAGAAGCAAGAATTTGTGCTACAAATCATCAGCATATTTATGAGGAAGTACAGAGTGGATAATACAACCTTTTTATTACTCTTTTGTTTATATTCTAAATGATGTTTGTTTTTTATGACAAATACAAAATTAGGTAGGAGATCTGATGCTATAGAAAAGAAAAAGAGCTACTAAAATTAAAAGAAAAAATACTAATAAAATATGTGATTGACACAGTTCAGGTAGTTCTCAACTTATGACTGCAATTCTGGGATCATGTCTGTCCAGCATCAAAACCCCAGATGCCCCTGGAGGGAAGTCAGCAGCCATCCTATCAGGGAAGCAATGATGAGGGAAGATGGAAAACATGATTTCCACATTGAATCAGAGGAAGCCAATGGTAGTTGCCCTCAGCTATGGACTGGAAATGAGAGGGAGGCTGTATTATGCGGATGAGTCCTTAAAGATGGTTACAAGAAGTCCTTGAGGCAAAGTCAGGAGGGTGTGTGGATGGGCTCATTCTCTCATTAAGCAATCTCGTGCTCAGAGTGAGGTAGAGTGTCTTCCAGGATTCAAGCTATAGATAGTCCCCATTTAATAAGAGTTAACAGTTACCGAAGTGACGGAAAAGCAACTTTTAAGACCAAGTCTCCCATTTAGGGCCTTCAGGGGTTTGTAAAGTAAAGGAAAGCTGAAGTAAAACATAAGCACAGTTGTGGTTTCAGAAAGTCCATTGCTAAGTGAGGCAGTTAAGTGAATTGTGCCCAATTTATGACCTTTATTGCCACTGTTGTTAAGTGAATTATTCTGGCTGCTAAGTGATTCACATGATCATTAAGCAAATCTGACTTCCCCCACTGACTTTTTAAAAGTGAGCTGGGAAGGTCAAAAATCACCGAGCTTGGCGTGCTGTCATTCATACATGTCTGGTTGCCAAACACCTGAGTTTCAATCACATGAACATGGGGATGCTGCTACATGTGAGGACTGGTCATGAGTCACTTTTCTCAGTTTTGTTGTAACTCTGAATGGTCACTAAATGACCGGTTGTAAAAGAACTGCCTGTAATAGCGGTTGCATAATCTTTATGATCCCAAAACAGATTAGAAGAAGTTTGCATAGAACTAAAATATTCCATGGTGTTAGGGCACTTAAACTGGTCAAAAACACAGGGTCCATGCAAACTGCCATTGCTTGATTTTTTTTTGATTATCATTCCATCTCTGAGCATGGCTGACTCTGGGTGCATCTGAGAACTAACACGCTGAAAATTGTTATGGAGTGGAGTCAAATGAATAGAAGGAACAGGATTTCATTTGATCCGGGGTTCCACTCTGTAACTTGTGCAAGATTAATAGGATGCTTCTGAATATGATAGAGGAGATCCCTTTCATTGCTAACTAAATCACACAAAGATCATTAGATGCCTAATCCAACTGGAGCCCTCCCCTTTCTTTGGACAAATCAACCCCTGGAGCCAGACTTATTATCATTCTCTTTCAGCTCAGCTTTCCCAGATTTATATTAAGAAAGGTAGACAGATTCAAGACCAGTGGTGGGATTCAGCCGGTTCGCATAGGTTCGGTAGAACTGTTAGCTAATTTTTGTGTTGACTTCAGCGAACCGGCTGATGCCCTAGACCTTTTTCACAAGGCCCAGAATGGCCCACCAGAAGTGCATGGAAACCACATCCAGAAGTCCATTCTGAGCCTGGGAGACCTCTCCCAGGCCTCCAAAACAGACTTCTGGAAGTGGCATCCATGGACTTCTGGTGGGCCGTTCTGGGCCGTTCTGGGTCTGGGAAGGCTCCCTGGCTCAGAAAGGACTTCTGAAAGTGGCATCTATGCAGAGAAACGGTTGTTCAGGTATTTGAATCTCACCACCATTCAAGACCACTTCTGGGGTGCATTTATGTTGTCTAAAATATCCTTTGAGGAGGATCTCTCTGGATAGCAATTTCTGAGAGGATGATTTATGTTGATTCCTCATTGTGCTTGAATAGGGATGGAGGTAAGAACTTACATCTTAACCAGTGAAACCACCACATAATACAGTTCAGTAGATGGCTTCAGGTGGAAGAAGACAGAGGATTGAAAGAAGACAAGAAGTGAACCACAGCCAAAATCTAAAACCCGAGCTACAGATATTTTGTATTATTTCAAAGTTATATGGGCGTAAACTTATTGAGACCTGATATTCCACCAAAGGAGCAGTTAGCAAACATTTAGACCCAACTTATCAATATGTAAGAAACCAAATCGTTTGAAGTGCCAATCAAGAAGAGAACCAATCAACTGCTCAGAATTCAAATATAGCTCCAAACAACTGATCACACTGGCACACAAGATGCTTATGAGTTAAGGAGAATAGGACAAGAAATGATGAAGATTTTTCTAAAGCTTTGGTTCTAGGATATGTGGCTTGTATCACAGATTCAAGTTGGTGCTTTGCTTGGGTGCCAAAATATTTGGATAGATTTTCCCCTTGTAGTATAAGAGTGCAGGGTGAATCTTCTGAGTAGGAGAGAGAATCTCATAAATGTTGCTCATATATGTTGCTTAACTCTGTAGACTCCATAGACAGCAACATAAAGAGCACCCACTACAACTAGTGGGTGAGAGATAGGCTCAGAGGTTTAATAGCAATGTATTTACACCGATATAGTCTTTGTTTGGCAGCCAGACTTGGGATTGTAAATCATTAAGCAAAGTGGTTTCTAAGTGAAACCACAACTGTGCTTATGTTTTACTTCAGTTTTCTTTTGCTTTACAAACCCCTGAAGGCCCTAAATGGGAGACTTGGTCTTAAAAGTTGCTTTTCCGTCACTTGTGTAACTGTTAACTCTTATTAAATGGGGACTATCTATAGCTTGAGTGCTGGAAGACACTCTACCTCACTCTGAGCACAATGAGATTGCTTAATGAGAGAATGAGCCCATCCACAAAGCCTCCTGACTTTGCCTCAAGGACTTCTTGTGACCATCTTTAAGGACTCATCTGCATAATACAGCCTCCCTCTCATTTCCAGTCCATAGCTGAGGGCAGCTACCATTGGCTTCCTCTGATTCAATGTGGAAATCATGTTTTCCATCTTCCCTCATCATTGCTTCCCTGATAGGATGGCTGCTGACTTCCCTCCAGGGGCACCTGGGGTTTTGATGCTGGACAGACATGATCTCAGAAGAAGAGCAGCCCCATCAAGACTGTGGAAAAGCATAAGCCAGAACTGCTGTGTAGCCACCTCCCTGTCATCACAGTTTTAGTTTCCCAACAGGCCATGCCCTGTTTCTATGGGACTGACAGGCAGGTCACTCTACGAAGGTAATTCTTACTGCTTTCTCTACCACTGTTGATGCTGTGCTAATGATAGATCAAGACTTCAGACTTTGCTTTATGTAAGGACCTGCTAGATCTCCCAAGAAAGCAGAACTCTTGAAACAGGCATCTTTTCAAAAGGAAATTTTTATTGAGAGTTAGTGGTGGCAAGAGAGCAAAGCAAGGTCTGAAGATTTGGCACACAAAAGAGTACATCAAAAGACAATTCAAAACTCCTCCCCCCAATGTCCAACTGTCCGGTTGAAATCCAGCCAAACCACAGGTGCCACATGTTATGAGAGCCTGGAGATTTAGCACCCTTCTCAAGGTCTCTCTCGGTTTCGTAAGCCCTTTTTTAAAAAAAAGAAGTTGGAAATGTAACAAGCAGATTGGACCCTTTTTCCTATGTGGTGATAATTGTAAAGCCTGGCAATACAGGAAACTGATTTAGAATCAGAGAGAACAGGATTTGGAAGGTTACAACTTGGATTATTAATCTTTACCCAACTATATAACATATGATGGATCCCCTCTCCCCAAAACTGCTTATGACCCAATTTTGAAGTTCCAATGTCCAAATCATTCCCCTCCCTCATCACATTGGGTAACCACATTTTGGGCACTCATTAACTGGCCCACATTTATGGCTGTGTGAGATGTAAAACCCCCAAATTTTGATACTCACAATACAAAGACAAGTCTGGTTAACAAAACAAAGGTTTATTGGAGAATAAACAGAATAAACAGAATAAAAGAGAAAAGAAAAAGAATAGAAGAGAGGAGCGTTTGCAAACGCGGCCCCCTGGATCCTTCCCTATGGATTGGATTCCAGGAGCACACTGGCCTGGTTTCAAGATCTGCATTTTATACCCCCTACAATGCATGTCACATCTAAACAGCTCTTTCATCTTTATAGATGTACTCTGAAGTTGTACTTTGTTAACCTGACCTCTTCCGTCCATCTGCTGTTATCTTGTTTATTTGTAATTCTCACCTTGGGTCAAAATCCCCCTCTTTGATAGTAGGATTTCTACTCAAGTAAGTTCCTGTGTCCGGGAGATTTTTAGGCAGGATATAGTAAACATTTGGTCGTATATTGGCATTGCATTGTTACATTTGTGTTACAGCATTACATTTGTACTAAAGAGACAGTTTCATATATTGGCATTACATTTCTACAATTATTTTTCTATAATTTTATAAAAGAATAACTTTTATTTCCTTAACTTTTATTTCCTTCAGCTATTTGCAGTCACGTGACCCTGATTTACAATGATTTTGCC